CACACACATATATATATCAGCCAAGAAAAATTATAACCATAGATGTTAATATAACCAGGAAATGAGACTCTTAACACACTTGGAGCTCCAGGCCTGGGCACATAACCAGGTCTTCACGGCCTTAGGAAAGGCCAAGGTCAGGATCATCCTAATCTCTGGAGGGAGAATGTTCCAGAGGGCAGGGATTACAACAGAAAAGGCATGCCTCCTAGTCCCCACCAGCCGACATTCCTTGGTGGATGGGATCTGTAGCATGCACAACCTGCTGGACTGAATGGGATGGGTAGAAATTATTATTATGGTTGGTTGCACAGTCAGCCAGATGTTTAGACTGGATTTGGAATTTTTATCCACCTATCAAGTCCTTCCCAAGGACCTGGGATAGACAGATGTTGTTTGATGGTTTGACGGTATTAAAGGTATTGTCACAGGATATAAGCTGTTCCAAGTAAAGCTGCCCTTTGCAACTGACTCATGGTGATTTTGTCAATACCACTGGTGTTCAAGTGGTGCTCCAGATGTTTTGGGATTGCACCTAAAGCACCTATAACTATTGGTACTATCTTTGGTTTCTTTTGCCATAGTCATTCTACTTCTATTTGCAGGTATTACTACTACTACTACTATTATTATATTTAATCTAGCAGCCCACTCCAGTATATCACACAGGAGGTCAAGACATGGAATAATGGATTTAAGTTCCAAGAAGGCAGATTCCATCTAAGCCTTAGCAAAAAAAAAAAAAAAAAAAAACCCTAAAAAAAACCATATTTCAACAGTGGAGCCAGATATTGATGGGTGATGGGTTCTTCTTCCACTGGATATACTCAAGCACAGGCTAGACAGCAATCTGTCTTGGAAGCTTTCACTGAAATGTTGGGCTGGAAAATCTCAGGAAAATATTTTGGCCAAGTGCTCCTGTAAAAGTACTCCTTTACTACTGTGGTCTTTTTGATCCAGTTATATATTGTCCAATTTGTGGTTTTTGCCATATTTTATTTTATTGTATATATTTTATTTTCACGTTATTAATTGCATTCTCTTGTTTTAATTGTTGTGAAGCATTAAGAGTAGTTGGGAGTTGGGTGGCATACCAATTTGATAAATAAAATAGATTGATAGAGTTCATTCTTTGAACTCAAGGATGGGTTTTTCTGATAAGTCTACAGCAGGGGATCTTAACCTTTTTTGTGCCATGGATCCCTTTCAGAGTCTGGTGAAACCTACCGATGCTTTGTCAGAAAAATGTATTTAAATGCATAACTTAAAATACATGGATATAGACTCCATTACAAAGGAAGACAAATATATTCAAATACAGTTTTCAAAATATTAAAAAATAACAAATATCCAATACAGTGATACATATGCTTCTTTATTAGTCCATTAAATCAGTAACCATACAATATCTTTTTTTTTAGAGTATAATAATTTTAGATAGTGACATTTATTGAAATTAACAAATATTTTTGGAATCCAGAGGCCATAAATTATTTTGTTGCTTACATACAATATAGAATGAAAAGCTAAATTTCAGTTAGTGGTTAGTTAAAATAAAGCTGCAATTTTTTCTCATTCAAGCTGAGGGTCCCTGGACTCCAGGTTAAGAACCCCTTGTCTATTGTATACTCCCTCCCTTTCTCTCTCCTCTTTCCTACCAATTGTCCTACTTTGTCTTCCCTCACCCGTGCTACTGGCTATTACTCCCTGTTGAGTGTTAGAGAGAACACAGCCACTATCTGAGACCTCCATTGGAGTATTTCATGACTGTTAAGTGTAATTGTTAGGAGGGATTTTTGAGGGGAAAAGTTTATTGGTTTTGAAGCAGAGTCTTGTGTCTTCTCCTGATACCTCCAAATTCTTCCCTGTCTTCAACCATGTTTGAAAAGTCTCCTTAAGTAGCATTTGTTGCTCTGTGATCTGTTTTATTGCTACTCTGGGATATACTGTAAGAAACTTTGAGTACATTTAATTGAACTTTTTATTCTGTTAATGATACAAATAGATCACCAACAGCAGCCTATGAAGCACACACGTCCCTCACTTAGGTTTGAGAGCTGGGGATAGGGGACAAGAGAGGAAGAGTCCAAAACAAACGTTTCTAGTCCAAACAAAATGAAATCAGACATTATTTGGAAAACAAAGAAAGTTATACCTACATTTAATGCTTGTGTTCAAACTCTTTGGAGCAGATGAATCAACAGCAGCTGAATGAACAACAACAAAAATGTTTATCTTCTCAAAACAATATTTCACTTTCAAATGCAGGAAAGAGCAACAAACAGCCTGCTTACAACCAATAGGAAACTGAGGTTATTGAATTCAATTACCATTGGGCTCTTAAGGAATCTTATTTATTTATTTTTTCTTATAAATTAACTGATTATACCTTCTCTATTGAATATGAAGTGAAACCTTCTACTAGTACAGCTCTAAAAAAATGTAACAGCAAGATATGAATTTCAAGGAACGGCTGTGGTTTGATTTTGTTTTTCTGTTTGAAGTGAACTTTGTTTTTCATCTTATTCAAGCCAAGCAATCTACCCGCCGTGCTTCAAGGAAGTTATTGGCATCTATTTTTGTTTTCAAAGTATCTCCATATCTTTCTCCTCATTTCTTTGTTTGGCACTTTGTATGGTTTTTAAAGGTGATACACATTAAAAACTGTTTCAGAAAGGGAAGAAATGACTCTGGGGCCAGCAGAAAAATAGTTTAAATACTTTGATGAGCACTCAAATTTCTGCTGAAAAGCAAGAGTTTCTGTTTTAGTTCAGTACAGAGTGAAACAAATGTTTCTAAAGTGTGGTTGCGTGCACTTCCAAATTGGCCCTGCTACAAACATTAAGCGTATTCTTTTGAGCTTGGTGAGCGTGCTACCAGCTTGAACCTTGATGTTAGTAAAAAAAAAAAAAAAATCTGCACAAAAAGCCTGATGGGAATTAAAAATGGCGGCAAGCAGCTTGAAGAATAAGATGGATTTTCCACAGCTCAGCAAATTTTACTTTAATAATAATGGGTATAGATTAGAGACAGTCCGGTTTTTAGACAAGATGCATATTCTTCTGTTCTGCACAATACTAATCCAAAACTATTGCTCCCTTAATATATTTTGTATTCAATCATTCCTTTTATTATATTAAAAACTATTCTATAGGGTTTTTTTATAGAAAGAAAATATATATATCTTGTTTTTCTGTAAAGTATGTCTACAGTGGCTAACTGTAATATGAACATTAAGTAAAAAAAGTGAAAAGAGTGGTTATGAAACCACCTAAAAATCTAATTAGAAAATGTAAAAATAAATCTAAAATATATAAACATGTTGATTCAGGACAAGACTCCAAACTTTGGTCTTTAGCACCAAAGTAGTTAGTAGATGCTGAAAGAGTACTCAAGATGTATGAAAGTGAACAGATCAAAGCCAAAGGGAATATTTTCTTCTTCAAATTAATTAAGGGTATGTGGAGCCTTCCAGAAGACGGGTCCTTGGAGTCCCCTCCAAAGCTGCCACGATGTATCAGTGATGATTCCTATTTTCTGATTGTGTACCACAGGACTCCAGTTGCATACTTTCGATACTAGAGTGCCAGAGCAGATCTTCAACATCTGTCAGAAGATGTTAAGATTTTCTTCTTTCACTTTTGTTGAGACCTACATTCCTTCAGAAATAAACTGTTAGGGCGCTTGTTATCAAAGTGCGTAGAGCCTAAGCCAGTAATGTATAGAATCAGAACACAAAATGGCCAGATTTTCTCTTTCTTTTTTCAGACCCTTCACTTATTCTTTCTTTTATACAGCCTAGTAGGCTCCCTAGGTTGGAAGAAAGCATTCTTTTCAAGGTGGGTGATCTGATTATTTGCAAAAGGCTTTCTTGAATTTGTAAGCTGCCTAGAGTTGTCAAGGTGTTGAGTGGCCTTGAAACTTGATTGATTGATTGATTGATTGATTGATTAAATAAATAAATAAATAAATAAATAAATAAATAAATAAATAAATAAATAAATAAATAAATAAGAATCAGTACCCTCCTGATAGGGCAGGGCCCTGTCAATAGAAGAGGAAAAACAAAAGTGGGGTCAAATACAGGTCATAGGCTTCACACCTCCGGATTATTGCTTAAGCCCAGCTTGTTTTGTTTTGTTTTTTCCCCCAGAGTCGGCACTCAATCTTAAACAACTTCTATGGCTATTTGCTCTAGAGGGTCCTATAAAACAGGGCACTTTTCTCTGGGAAACGAAGATCACTGTCATTTCTTCTCTCCTGTAGTATAAGACAGTTCATTCAGATCAACAGGAAGAGCATGTGTAGTTCCTAAAATCATGATAAGCCAACAAAAGTAGAAGAAAAATGTCTTCCTAATCCAAAGCACACCTGTATATAAGCATATATATATATATGCAATCTGCATGATTGTAGTCCATGAAACAAATAGAACACCCATGGAGATAATGCATTATTAATATGCTGTTCCATTCATACCCCTCAGAGATCTATATAGGGTTATGAAAAAGAAAATATATATCTGTGTACTACCAAAACTTTTTCTTGCAAAGCTTCTGCTTAGTGATCCGTGTCACAAGCTTTAATGCAATGTTAGATTCTTCAATATAGTTCAGAACTGGATTGCAATGTTTGAAAAATGAAGTTGGAAGCAGTTTCATTGGGGGAGTGATGAAGAAATCAGAAATAGTATTTGAAATCCCACTGTGCCAGGAAATAATCCCTAAACATTTTGGCTCCTGAAATGTCTTATCTGGAATGAGATGCATGAAGACACACACTCGTGTCCTTGTCATCTCTGGCTTAGAATACTGTAATATGCTGTACATGGGACTGCCCTTGAAAACCACCCAGAAACCTCAGTTGGTCCAGATGCATGTTGTGTTCTACTCCTTCTGCATGAGCTACAATAGTTGCCAGTGTGTCTCTGAGCACAACACAAGATGCTGGTTACTATCTTTAAAGCCCTACATAGTTTGGGGCCTAGCTATCTTTCCCAGATAAATTCTGTCTACCTGATCCAGACTGCCAGGGAATACCTACTAGGAGTCCCCTGTAGGTGCAAAGGGACTACAGGCATTGTCTGGGGCAGCTCCTCTCCTATGGAATAGCCTCCCCTCCCACCCCACCCCACCCCAAGGCAAGGGTAGTCCCCATTCTTATGGTCTCTAGAGACTGGTAAAAACCTGGCTTTTGCAGAAAGCCTTCAGAGACTGACTACAGAGGCACAGGGACCTATATAAATTGTAGTAAAACCATGCAATTTGTACCATTCATTACAATTTATTTTATATATTATTAATATCTACAAACCATCTAGAGCCAACTATAATTGAGGCAACAGATAAACTGCATGAGTTAATAAAATAATGCTGAAATGTTGAAGGTTATAAAGTGCTCTTAAATTAGTTCCCCCATTTTCTTTTCTGTTCCCTTTTATTCTACTTCATGAAGGTAAACTGAGAGCAAGCTCAACTTAGCAGAGAATGTAACAAGTATGAATTACAAATTCCACTTTAAAATACTTTCTGATCTGTTTATATACAAAAGAGCACACCACATTCACCTGTGGTGGGGGGAAAGCTTGGCTCTTCTGCTTTCAGTCATCACAGTTTCTTTTCTATCCATTTTAAAGGTTACTTCAAACAGAAAGCAAAAACAGGGCAAGACATTAAGCAGGACATCAGTTTTTTTAAAAAATAGTGGTCCAAAGTATAATAAAATGCACTCCAACTTTCTTATGGTTCCTCTTTAAGGGGAGTTGTTCGACTTGCTTTTGCCAAGCTGAAGCAATGGACAAGCTCCATATCACTTCTGGTGCCTTTATATCATTCCAGGCCATATAAAACCTGAGACTTATAAAAAAATATCCTTGATAAAAGCAGGACTATAGGAAAACCACAAGTCCAAGATCTCAGACTAGCATAGATCTGAGAAACTGGGGAACAAAAATCTGACAAGAATAATGGTAAAATATAAGGCTACCATGCACGTTTTGTTAATTGACTGTAATGATTATCTTAAAGAATGAAAACAGAAAGACTGGGTTAGCTTAGGCTAAACCTTTCCAAACTTCCTTGGAAGGGGGCATTGAACAGATTACAGATTTTGCCCAAGATAATGCAGAACTTGTTTTAAAACTTTCTAGACAAAACTGAGAATTATACAATATAACATTTGGAAGTGATCTTTTAAAAAATACAATTGCACCATTTGGGTTTGACAAAGGTCTATGCTGCACTGATTGTAGTTTAGTTCAGTTAAAGTGGACCTACACTCATCTTACAATTGTCAGATACCTGAGGAGGGAAGATATTATTTTATGTAGCAAATACCTTTGGCGGACAGCAGTTTTCTGTAATGCACAGCCATGTGATCTTGAACAATGTACTGACTTGAGAGCTTGCAGGAAGAACTCGGAGAAAAGGCTGAGGAAATAAAAGATTGCTTTAGTTAATGGATTTAAGAAGTGTCTGGCATGTCGATTTCTGAAGATTCAAATTTGGACACTTCTAGTGAAATACATTTTCTGATTGAGAAATCTGAAGCAAAGTAAGCGGTATTTCAATGTGGCTTATTTTTTCTATGATTATTTTATCATGAAGTTTTGTAATAAATAATAAATGAGCTCTGTATGTATTCTTATTAAATCCCCATTTCTTTATATGCTACCTCCCATAACTCTTGGAGAATATTATGTTCATGGTTTAATCTTTCAATACAATCTCCATTTGGAAAGATTCAAAAGCTGATGGCTTTTAACCTCAAGAGCTGAGAAGTAGAAAAAAAATATGGATGTCCATTTTTCTAGGAATACAAATTCCAAGCTGGATTTTTTTTATTAGTCCCTCCCCCCAAATTCTTACTGTAGTCAATGTAAAGAAGAGTATGTGAAAGCAAAAAGTTCAGGAATTTGAAATGACTGTTTATATTTCTGTTCCTGCTTTCCAAAGTTAACACTTGGTTAAATGTTATGCACTATCATAACACTATAAAACTTTATTCTGGTGGAAACAAAGTCTCCAAATGACTAAAAACAAAAGAAAACAAAGCTACAAAACTTATTAAAAGTTTTGAGGCCAGTTGTTGAAAAGCAAGGGAAAAGGTAAAATTAGTCATTTTCTTCCCATTTTATATGTTTGATTGTCATATCTGTCCCAGATTCTCCTTAAAGTAGCAGCTTCTGTCTCAACACCAAAAATTTTAGACTTGATCTCTTTTATTTTAACCAGTTAGAGTTTTGTTCAGTGGTTCTAAGAATTGGAAACTATATTGAAAAGGACCCTTTAGGGAAGGCAACAGAACACCCTGGAACAGCACACTTTGCTAGTACATCTTATAATAACTCTGATATTAGGTAACATGTGACAAGAAGGATTTTTTTCCTAAAATCCTGCAGTTGTAGTAAATAAGAGGCTAGATAGCAAAGGAGTCTGACAAAGCAGTTCCCTGTATTTCTAGCAGGGCCAGCCCTAGCATTAGGTAAAATGTGACAATCATCTTAGAATGCTTATGCCAGAGAATAGCAATGGCAACTTCCTAGTTGCTTCTTCCAAATTCTTATCTTATTTTTGTCAAGGATAGAGCTGTACATGGTGCACAACCTGTCTTGCAGCCTTTATGTTAACCTGCTATCTTAATGTTCAGAAGATCAATGACATTTTGTAATATACGAGAATGGAGGGAAAAAGAATGATGTACTATAGCAGTGTTCCTCAACCTTGGCAGCTTGAAGATGTGTGGACTTCAACTCCCAGAATTCCCCAGCCAACATCTTCAAGCTGCCTACGTTGAGGAACACTGTACTATAGGATAAGTCATAGGCTGAACAAGAGTTCTTCTGCAGTAATGCTGCTTTCATCATTTCCCCCTTTTGACTGTCTCATCTCAGATATTTATGTTTTGGAAATTAAATTTGATATTTTGCACTGAAATTTTGAGATATGCCACCAACCGACTGAACACTTCAGTCATCTATACGTGCACAATCTCCACAGAAATTCAGGATCATATTTACTTAGAAATGGTACAAATGGCGCAAAAAACAGATCAAAATCTTTATTACTCAGAAAAATCTCACTCTTTTGCTGGAACCTTTTTCAAATTGGCAATTTGAACATGAGCTCATACAGGCTTTATCAGTGGCTGGGGGAGCATGTAGAACTGAGGTTTGATTTCATTGCTGATGACCTTTCAAGCCCAAAGGATTCAGACCCAGCATATCTCAGAAATTATTTCCTCCTTTTGTCAGCTTACCCATGTCTTTTAACTTTTAAGGAGTACCGATAATTGTGTCCATGCCATTTTCATTTGTTTTATTTACAAAAATATGTTAAGTCATACATCAAAAGCAAAGTGTCTGTTCTATGGACTATGGAATAACGACTGGTGAATGCCATTTACTTGGGGGTCAGTTTCAACTTATTTCATGGCAAATTGGGATTCTTTGGGAAAAAGTGGAGGGGCACCAATTCTGTATTGGAAACAGAAACAGATGACTTTCCAATAGCTACACCTAACTATTGAACTATTTGCTCAGGAAACTAAGTTGGCACAATTTCTTTTGGCCTTTTCCAGTGATGAAAATAATCGTATTTAGAAAGGCATTTTTTCCAGATAAAATGTAAATTGTATTGGAATTTTTATTTTCACTATTGCAGCAACTGGAGTAATCTTTTAGACTAGATGTATATTTGGAATGTATAGATACACTCAGAAAACGGCTGTTATGGGGGAACTTGATCATAGGAGGCAGTTTTCAGTATTAACAACAGATTTATTTAAAATAAAATAAAATAAAAATTGAATTTTTTCATTTTTAACCTTCACTAGAAAGCTCTCAGCTCCAAAGCAAATAAGATTTTGCTCTCCCAAATATACCCAAAGCTTATACAGTACACTAAGAATCTAGATAAGTGATTTTAATGATTTCAAACAGGGAGAGACTAAATGTTGTCAAGAATAACAATGAATCCCCCCCCCTTTTACACTCTGTAAACTACATCTGGTAAAATATATCTTTTATATTCTCAGCTTTTCTCTGAACAGAGCAATTTTCCACTGAGGTTTCTTTTCCAACTGTGACACAGAAGTGTTGTGGCTGGTTTTCTGCAGGAAGATAACACTGATTTCAAACAAAAATTAGGTTAGAAATCTGAACTTGCTCTTCCTCTTCCCTGATCTATTATTGTCTACATCAGTTCAAGCTTGGATTTGCAGCTGAAAGCTTAGAAAAGTAATTGATTAGTAAATCCACTGTATCCTATGAGAGGCAATTTTAATTATCATGTTAATCTCTAGTATTTTAGTAACAACAATAAACAAGGATAAAAGCAATCTTAATGAATGTTTAATGAATGATGGGCAGTGAAGGTCAAGCTGAACTGTTTTGCAGCTTAAAGGCAAAATGTGAGTCATATCATGAAAGTAGTTTCTGTGCATTTATTCACCCATTAACACCAGGATTTTAGGTGTGCAAAAGTCCTTGCTGAGTAGAACATACAACTAGTCAATGCAGGATACCAGAAATGGATGGCATGCTAGGATCCTGGAACACTGATCCTCATGAAATCAATTACTAGCACACCTCCATTGTTGGTTCTCCCTCCTCTCCTAATTCAGTTAATATACAGAATCATTTTTTAACATTTAGATTTGCAACCTAATGCAATGAATACAGGTAAGCCTAGGTATGTTAGTTTTGTTCTTATTATAATTATTAAAATAGATTTTTATTTAGGCTACTTAGAACACTGCATTTTTGCCAGTGGCAGCTACTGTAACTGAATCTTATTTTTATAAGAGCAACTTTTATAAGTTGTTATTAAATAACAAATTAAATAAATAAATAAATAAATAAATAAATAAATAAATAAAAATGTTCTACACAAGGGCAGAAATCCAAGGTTTATCCCTGAATCCAGACATGTATATAAGTTATCTACTGGAGCTTTGTGTAAATTATCCCCAGATTTAGATTTTGAACCTCTTGATGCAGTCATTACATGACCATAGTGATGCTTGTGGGTGGGTGGGTGTGCACATGTGTGTATATGTGTGAAAGCCTCTTTCCAATTCCCAACATCCTCAACTCAGATCACTGTTTTCCCATTCCTATTACTTATTTTGACTGAGAACACTGCTAAGCACAGAGTAGTTTTTTGCAGGGCTCAACTGATAAGTAGTGAGCAAGGCTCTAGAAACTAAGAGGTCTTCCTCAGGCTACCCAAAGAGGGCCTGAGAGCTGTATGCAGTCTGTGAATTGCCATCGCTGACCCATGTTGTCCAGAGTTTTCTATGTCCTTTAATATATATTCATAACATTGTTGGGAGCCAGCTGTGTATTTGGAGTATAGTACTACCCTCATACTAATGACAACCAACTTTTACTCTTTTTCATTGCATACCAAGATGTTTGATAGGCTGTACTGATGTTTTAAGACAATAATGAGTTATAAAGGGTAGATGAACTTAAAATTAACCCAAACCAGGCTCTCTAAGTACTATCATCAATATGGAAATGAGTTCAGTCTGCCTTACATGATATCATTACTCCACTTGAAAACGCCATCGTGTAATAATGGATCTGACTTTGCTCCTAGATATTAATGTATTGGCTATGTTCAAGGGTAATAATAATAATAATAATAATAATAATAATAATAATAATTATTATTATTATTATTATTATTATTA